CACGGTGGTGCAGGCAGCAGGTCGTGGGGTCAGCAGGTGAAATATTGAGCAGGGAGCAAACAACGGACCTTGTCTAGCCAAGTCCCAGTTTCCATCCTCTCCTGGCCCCTTTACCGTCTCTCTGTTCTTACTGCTGCTGCTGCTGCTCTTACTGCTGCTGCTGCTGCTCTTACTGCTGCTGCTGCTCTTACTGCTGCTGCTGCTCTTACTGCTGCTGCTGCTGCTCTTACTGCTGCTGCTGCTGCTCTTACTGCTGCTGCTGCTGCTCTTACTGCTGCTGCTGCTGCTCTTCATACCGCTGCTGCTGCTCTTGCTGTAGCTCTTCTTGCTGCTGTTTCTGCGGCTGCGCACCAGGCCACTGTAGCGGAGGTGGACACACCTGTGCACTGTAAATTATTGAAGTCACTGCAGTAATTGTTGGCCTGAAGAGGAGAGCTCAGTCCAGGTGTGTGGCGGCGACACACCTAACTTACTGGTGCTGGAGGGAGCAGCACTCAGGCAGCTCCCCGCCTTGTCTTGGCTTGCTTATAGCCTTTCAGGCAACTGTAACCCTATTCCCCGCTGACCGTGGCACCCTCAACTCTGAGGTACAGGCCTGTTTTGACCGCTGTAATGAGTGGTTGGGTTCACCGTCTTGGTGATAATCAGGACAGATTCGCCAGATTGAGAGGAAGCTGGACAAGAGGACACAGGTGGAAGCTGGTATCGCAAATGAGCCAAAGGTACGCAAAGGAGGTACTGGTACCCTCGTATGGGTAGTTAGCAAGTGGAATGGTCTTAAAGAGAAGTTGTAGACAGACTGACGTCACCTCACACCCTCACAGACAGACAGACCTCACCTCACACCCTCACAGACAGACAGACCTCACCTCACACCCTCACAGACAGACAGACCTCACCTCACACCCTCACAGACAGACAGACCTCACCTCACACCCTCACAGACAGACAGACCTCACCTCACACCCTCACAGACAGACAGACCTCACCTCACACCCTCACAGACAGACAGACCTCACCTCACACCCTCACAGACAGACGTCAACAACCCCGGGGCTTTCTTCCAGTTTTGTCTCTAACTTTTCCTCATTTATTTATCTCATTAATGTCATGGGTTCACAATTTATAGCAGCAATTGTTACGCCTCTCTTTTGACCCAATTTCCCAATTAGTGGATGTCTAATTTTGAAAAAAATGTAGTTAATTTCTTTGTTTCTCAAAAAAATATATACGGTTCTGGAGCTCTGGGAGGTATGCTGTTGGGATCTAACCTCCGTCTGCAAGATACCTCAACACATGGGCAATGATAGTGGTATCCTTTATCCTCTGCTTGCCTTAGGTCTTCATATGGCAGCAGAGGTGATATGATTACAACATACAAGATACTCAGGGGAATACAGAAGGTGGACAATGACAGCCTCTTAAACTTGAGAGAGAGAGAGAAAGAGAGAGAGAGAGAGAGAGAGAGAGAGAGAGAGAGAGAGAGAGAGAGAGAGAGAGAGAGAGAGAGAGAGAGAGAGAGAGAGAGAGAGAGAGAGAGAGAGAGAGAATATGACATATATGGAAGCTGGAGACACAAATGAGTCTAAGAAATCCAAGGAAATACTCGAACCCTGTACGGATGGTCAACAAATATAGTGGACTGAAAGAAGTCCTTGAAGCCACCTCCATCCACAACTTTAATGGCAAAGTTGACTTGGTCTTACACGACTAAGAAATGAAACGTCTTGAATGGTATAATAGAACCCAAGAATTACAAGGCTCTGAGACTGGCCAATGAAGAGCCAGAACTGGCTTACTCTTCTTCAGTGTTAGGTGAGCTTCCCCTAGTGTGTGTGGGTGTGGGGCGGGGTGCGGCTAGGGGATAGATAGGGTGTGGGAGTAGGGGATAGTGTTGGTGGTGTCCGTACACCATTAAACTCTAGCCCGGCCCTAGAGACCTGACTCTTGGCTGTAATACTAGCAGTGACCGCCATCATGCTCTCTCTCTCTCTCTCTCTCTCTCTCTCTCTCTCTCTCTCTCTCTCTCTCTCTCTCTCTCTCTCTCTCTCTCTCTCTCTCTCTCTCTCTCTCTCTCTCTCTCTCTCTCTCTCTCTCTCTCTCTCTCTCTCTCTCTCTCTCTCTCTCTTTGCCCCTATTCTCTTATGAGGAGGATAGTAATAAAGTGCTAAATATATCAAGCCGAAATACAACACGAATTAATGAGTACAAATTGCATAAGTTTACATTCAGAAAAGTCCTGGGTAAATACTGGTTTTAGAACTATGGATTATTTGGTTGGGTTTACCTACGGCCAGATTTTGCTGTCTAGCCTTCTTTCAGTCCAGTCTCCGTGGCTGCTGGGAACAGGAGCAAGGGCTATGGTGATCCCCGAGAGAATTTCTGGGGGAATAGACGTTAGGTAGCAAGCCTCGGCCACCGTCCTGATCAAACGCCTCAACTTGGTTCCCAACTTGTGTCATGACGGCGGATGGAAGTTGAGAGTGAAGTCTTTAATGGCGCGCTCTCTGAGGCGTTAACTGTGTGACAGTTGTTAGTGCAGGTGGCCGCTTCGACAGGTATTTGAGGTGTTCTTTGTAACGAGGACACGTGTTGAGGACTATTCCGGCCAAATAGCCTCGTTGATCAAGCTTAAACAGCTGTTTAGAGAGCTGATATGGAGATTAAATGATGCTGTTCCCAACTCGCACTGTTAATGATTTACATCAATCTACGGCCATTGTTAACGGACGAGCCGTCGTTACAACTAACGCGTCGCTGGATTTTTCCGTCACGTTATCGTAACTCTACAAATGGTAACGGGTTAAGAATAGTTACGACTCGTAAATATCTTACGCTTCCCGTGCGTCCGACGCCATATTAGGTTTGGTTAGTGCGTTTTGGGTTACGCTCGGAAACTGGGGATTTTGACGGAGTGATTGTTCGAGAGAACGGGGCTGCTTGTCCGGCGTGTGGATGTTTTCCCGCCATAAACACACACACACACACACACACACACACACACACACACACACACACACACACACACACACACACACACACACACAGAATCTGTACATCAGTTGATTGACGGTTGAGAGGCGGGACCAAAGAGCCAGAGCTCAACCCCCGCAAACACAACTAGGTGAGTACAACTAGGTGAGTACACACACACACACACACACACACACACACACACACACACACACACACACACACACACACACACACACACACACACACACACACACACACACACACACACACACACACACACACACACACACACACACACACACACACACACACACACACACACACACACACACACACACGCTTCTCATATTTTCCGAAGCGATTAGCTGCTGCCAAGGCAAACAGCTCAGGCCGGAGCAGCATTTACTTTTAATTAGATGTGAAAGAACTGTTATTTATCGTCAGAAACGGGTGCAAATGCAACTGTTGCACTGATACTCTTCCTCCTATTTACCCCCCCCCCCCCCCCCCTTGCGTGTGCGTGTGTGTGTGTGTGAGTGTGTGTGTGTGAGTGTGTCGCTAGAGACAAGGGGCTCAGGAACATGCTTTACATTCTCTCCACAAACTTTCATCGTGGAGGAAAAGTTGCACCAGGAATGTACCGGTCGCAGCAGCGGCGATGCGAGTTCTGAGGTCGGATTGTGGCCGGTTGGAGTTCGTGGTTTGATTGTGGCCGGTTGGAGTTCGTGGTTTTGATTGTGGCCGGTTGGAGTTCGTGGTGTGATTGTGGCCGGTTGGAGTTCGTGGTTTGATTGTGGCCGGTTGGAGTTCGTGGTTTGATTGTGGCCGGTTGCAGTGTAGTTAGGTACGAACCCATGTGATTGTTGATCAGAGGACTGGAGGGCCATCCTCTATAGTGACAACATTTGTGCTTAAAAGCAATATGTGTCGGCCTATTTGTCATATGAACACTCTTGGTTAACCTTAGTTAATGTGTGTGTGTGTGTGTGTGTGTGTGTGTGTGTGTGTGTGTGTGTGTGTGTGTACTCACGTATTTGTGCTTGCGGGGGTTGAGCTCTGGCTCTTTGGTCCCGCCTCTCAACTGTCAGCTGCGTGTTTGCGTGTGTGTGTGTGTGTGTGAGAAAGAGGGCGATTCCAGGTTAGTGTCTAGGTAAAAGTGGTCGTCCTGCAGGAGAGATTAACGAGCCACACTAACTAGTCACACTAACGAGCTACACTAACGAGCCACACTAACTAGTCACACTAACGAGCCACACTAACGAGTCACACTAACGAGCCACACTAACGAGTCACACTAACGAGCCACACTAACGAGTCACACTAACGAGCCACACTAACGAGCCACACCAACTAGCCACACTAACGAGTCACACTAACGAGCCACACTAACGAGCCACACTAACGAGTCACACTAACGAGCCACACTAACGATGACTATCGTTGCTCTTCCCTCCCTTAAATTCCCCTGGAAAAGTTTTCAAGCTGGAGATGTATTCCTTAAAACTTTTGCCCCACTGGAACTTTACCTCCTCATCTTTTTAAACTTTTCTATTCATTTCGACTTAGCTGTTTGGGCCACAGGGAACACACACACACACACAGAGGCCGCCAGAGACCATTAATTTCACTAACACCATAACCACCATTGCCTCTACCACCACCACTAGGAAGTTATAGAAGCCACCTCTAACCTCCACTTCGGAGCCGGTCGGCCGAGCGGACAGCACGCTGGACTTGTGATCCTGGGTTCGATCCCAGGCGCCGGCGAGAAACAATGGGCAGAGTTTCTTTCACCCTATGCCCCCCTGTTGCCTAGCAGTAAAATAGGTACCTGGGTGTTAGTCAGCTGTCACGGGCTGCTTCCTGGGGGTGGAGGCCTGGTCGAGGACCGGGCCGCGGGGACACTAAAGCCCCGAAATCATCTCAAGATAACCTCAAGATAACTACCGTAAAGCCAAAATTTGACAAAGGATTTAAAGTTTTAAGTATAACGGCGGAGGTACAGTAAGGCTAGTTATAGTTAGCTAAACCTGGTGACTCGTCTGGGTCACTGCCTGGTGACTCTGCTTGCCTGGTAACTCCTCCTGGTGACTCTGCTTGCCTGGTAACTCCTTCTGGTGACTCTGCTTGCCTGGTAACTCCTCCTGGTAACTCCTCCTGGTGACTCTGCTTGCCTGGTAACTCCTCCTGGTGACTCTGCTTGCCTGGTAACTCCTCCTGGTGACTCTGCTTGCCTGGTAACTCCTCCTGGTAACTCCTCCTGGTGACTCTGCTTGCCTGGTAACTCCTCCTGGTAACTCCTCCTGGTGACTCTGCTTGCCTGGTAACTCCTCCTGGTGACTCTGCTTGCCTGGTAACTCCTCCTGGTGACTCTGCTTGCCTGGTAACTCCTCCTGGTGACTCTGCTTGCCTGGTAACTCCTCCTGGTGACTATGCTTGCCTGGTAACTCCTCCTGGTGACTCTGCTTGCCTGGTAACTCCTCCTGGTGACTCTGCTTGCCTGGTAACTCCTCCTGGTGACTCTGCTTGCCTGGTAACTCCTCCTGGTGACTCTGCTTGCCTGGTAACTCCTCCTGGTGACTCTGCTTGCCTGGTAACTCCTCCTGGTGACTCTGCTTGCCTGGTAACTCCTCCTGGTAACTCCTCCTGGTGACTCTGCTTGCCTGGTAACTCCTCCTGGTAACTCCTCCTGGTGACTCTGCTTGCCTGGTAACTCCTCCTGGTGACTCTGCTTGCCTGGTAACTCCTCCTGGTGACTATGCTTGCCTGGTAACTCCTCCTGGTGACTCTGCTTGCCTGGTAACTCCTCCTGGTGACTCTGCTTGCCTGGTGATTTACTCAGTTCGAGGACTGATGTCGACTATTTCATGGTCGTATTTAGTTCCCAGGGAAGATTATTGTATTTTTTCCCCCGTCGCGTTATTTTCCCCAGCTGCAGCTTCACTATTTGCCTGCATTGTTTTATTTTCTGCGGCTCATATACAGCTGCGGCTCACATACACCTGCGGCTCACATACACCTGCGGCTCACATACACCTGCGGCTCACATACACCTGTGGCTCACATACACCTGCGGCTCACATACACCTGCGGCTCACATACACCTGCGGCTCACATACACCTGCGGCTCACATACACCTGTGGCTCACATACACCTGTGGCTCACATACGCCTGCGGCTCACATACACCTGCGGCTCACATACACCTGTGGCTCACATACACCTGCGGCTCACATACACCTGCGGCTCACATACACCTGTGGCTCACATACACCTGTGGCTCACATACACCTGTGGCTCACATACACCTGTGGCTCACATACACCTGTGGCTCACATACACCTGCGGCTCACATACACCTGTGGCTCACATACACCTGTGGCTCACATACACCTGTGGCTCACATACACCTGTGGCTCACATACACCTGTGGCTCACATACACCTGTGGCTCACATACACCTGTGGCTCACATACACCTGTGGCTCACATACACCTGCGGCTCACATACACCTGCGGCTCACATACACCTGTGGCTCACATACACCTGTGGCTCACATACACCTGCGGCTCACACTTGGAACCTGGAAGCGAAATTCTGATACCTGATGTATTGTCTTTGAATATAATTGTAAAGTCAAATATTTACACAGGAAAACAGTAGCACAGTTTAGAAAAACAGCTGGACAAACACACACACACACACATACACACTCAGGGGGGGCCTGACGGCTGAGTGAACAGCGCCCGGGATTCGTAGTCCTAGGGGGTCCGGGAGATCCGGGGGTAAGTTGTGAGTTATGGGAGACTTGAACCAAGGCAAAATATAGGTGGATTTGAAATTTAATCCAGACGGAGAAGAGAGACGGATGCCAGAGGTGTGGATGACATGGATGATAGAGGTCTGGATGACATGGATTATGGCTTAGGGATACTGAAAGAAATCGAGAAAATCATCCGACAGACTTCAGAGATGAGAGAGAGAGAGAGAGAGGGATTGGGCTGAAACAGGACCCGCCTAGTGTGGACCAACAGACCTTCTCCTCAATTAATATGTACATATATCGGACAATTTATGTACATAAATTGAAAACAAGGCAATTTTCCGTACGAGAGAAGAGAGGAAATAACCCAAACATGACGCCAGAGGCTGACGGCAGAATACCGATTGTATGTAAAAGTTACAATGTCAGGAGACCTTACAGGAAGCTACACTGTCAAGTCTTTAGCTAGCTGTATGCATAATATGTTTGGCTAGCCCTGTGACTAGCCCCTGTGACTAGCCCCTGTGACTAGCCCCTGTGTCTAGCACTGTGACTAGCTCCTGTGACTAGCCCCTGTGACTAGCCCCTGTGACTAGCCCCTGTGACTAGCCCTATGACTAGCCCTGTGACTAGCCCCTGTGACTAGCCCCTGTGACTAGCCCCTGTGACTAGCCCCTGTGACTAGCCCTGTGACTAGCCCCTGTGACTAGCCCCTGTGACTAGCCCCTGTGACTAGCCCCTGTGACTAGCCCCTGTGACTAGCCCTGTGACTAGCCCCTGTGACTAGCCCTGTGACTAGCCCCTGTGTCTAGCACTGTGACTAGCCCCTGTGACTAGCCCTGTGACTAGCTCCTGTGACTAGCCCTGTGACTAGCCCCTGTGTCTAGCACTGTGACTAGCCCCTGTGACTAGCCCCTGTGACTAGCCCTGTGACTAGCTCCTGTGTCTAGCACTGTGACTAGCCCCTGTGACTAGCCCCTGTGACTAGCCCTGTGACTAGCCCTGTGACTAGCCCCTGTGACTAGCCCTGTGACTAGCCCCTGTGTCTAGCACTGTGACTAGCCCTGTGACTAGCCCCTGTGACTAGCCCTGTGACTAACCCTGTGACTAGCCCTATGACTAGCACTGTGACTAGCACTGTGACTAGCCCTGTGACTAACCCTGTGACTAGCCCTGTGACTAACCCTGTGACTAGCCCTATGACTAGCACTGTGACTAGCACTGTGACTAGCCCTGTGACTAACCCTGTGACTAGCACTGTGACTAACCCTGTGACTAGCCCTGTGACTAGCCCTGTGACTAGCCCCTGTGACTAGCCCTGTGACTAACCCTGTGACTAGCCCTGTGACTAGCCCTGTGACTAGCCCCTGTGACTAGCCCTGTGACTAACCCTGTGACTAGCCCTGTGACTAACCCTGTGACTAGCCCTATGACTAGCACTGTGACTAGCACTGTGACTAGCCCCTGTGACTAGCCCCTGTGACTAGCCCTGTGACTAACCCTGTGACTAGCACTGTGACTAGCCCCTGTGACTAGCCCCTGTGACTAGCACTGTGACTAGCCCCTGTGACTAGCACTGTGACTAGCACTGTGACTAACCCTGTGATACAATCAGGAATGTAACTATTTCTTTGCAACAAAATGTATCTGGGAAGAGCAGAGTAGCATTCAACAAGGCTGTGTCAGGAATGAGAGGAATGAGATACACTGTGTAAGGTCCAGAGAACTGGGTGTTGCCCCTGGGGGGGTGAGGGGATATAATTACGACATACAAAGTCAACAAAGCGGACAAAACAGCAACGTTCAAAATGGAAAATTGTCTAAAAGGGGGGTAGACATGGATGGAAACTGGATACACAGTGTACCTACGTATAGGAACATTATAAAATAGCATTTATTTACATTTTTATAATGTAAATAACATTATTTACATTATAAAAAAGGCAACATAGAAGGAATGGTATAACATTAAGAGAGAACGGTAGGAGAGGGGTAACTGAAGCAAGTGTGTGTGTGTGGTACCGGGAAGGTAAGGGGCGTGCGCAGCGTGGCCCTCTCTCTCTCTCACCCCCCTCCGGCACCCTCTGGCACCCCCTGGCACCGTCTCCAGGTCTCCCTCAGTGCCACTCTCCCTCGCTGGGCGACACCATCCACACGCGCGCGGGTTCCCGGGCGCCGTCTGGCTACCAAACTTGTCAGTTCACGTCTGTAATGGCTTTGTTTACCTCACCGGATTTAAGCGGATTCTCTCGCCGTTCGACTGAATTCTCGGATTTGACTGGATTTGGTTTTAGAAAAACGGCGTTAAGATGGATTGATTACAATGTATTTCTAATTATTCTGATAATCTTGTGTTTATCATACTCCGTTGATTGAAATATGTAAAAAAAATGTAATAGAAGTTGAAAAATAAATGGGTTGTAGTGTGATAGTGATAATTATATTATAGATACTTGAAAGTGTGAAAATTAGTATGAGGATGTAACAGGAGTCGCTGTGGATCTGCTACGGTCTTCCAGGGTGAAGTGTGTCTCGCCCAGGGTGAAGTGTGTCACGCCCAGGGTGAAGTGTGTCACGCCCAGGGTGAAGTGTGTCACGCCCAGGGTGAAGTGTCACGCTCATGGTGAAGTGTGTCACTCCCAGGGTGAAGTGTCACTCCCAGGGTGAAGTGTCACGCCCAGGGTGAAGTGTCACGCCCAGAGTGAAGTGTGTCACGCCCAGGGTGAAGTGTGTCACGCCCAGGGTGAAGTGTGTCACGCCCAGGGTGAAGTGTCACGCTCAGGGTGAAGTGTGTCACTCCCAGAGTGAAGTGTGTCACTCCCACCTGTAACTCATCTCGTATTTCTCTACTGTTATTTATGGTGTTACGTAACGCACCTGGCGCCCATATGTGACACTGTGTACCATATTGTGTGTGTCACCACATATGTCACATGTATATGTCACTCACCTGTCTGTCACTCCAATCATCTTAGCCTGGAAACTGTTTAGTAATTCTTATGCATTGACAGATAACTGAGTTATGCATTGACAGATAACTGACAGATAAATACATCACTGATGTATTTTGTGCATTTTTTAAACCACTCTGCCACAAAAGAGACACCAAAGGTGTCATGTTGACACAAATGCCAAAAATTACACCAAAATTACACAAAAATCACACTTACAAAACACAAAATTTGCTGGATTTTGTTTTTAAAATGTGGCCATTAAAGACTGTGCTAGTTATTAGTCAGAGTAATGCTATATGAATAATGGGTTGGAGGTCAAGGTCAGGATTTATCAAAGGATTTATGCAACTGTTTACGAAACCTTTACATCTTTTCTCAAGCATGGAAGGTTTGTTTACATTTACTAAAGAGCGTGTGCGCTCTGAAGCACTACGAGGTTGTTGTTCTTGTTGTTAATAAGTTACGAACTTAAGGTTAAGGGGACAGATTCACGAAGCAGTTACGCAAGCACTTACGAACCTGTCCATCTTTTCACAATCTTTAGCGGCTTTGTTTTCAATTATTAAACAGTTAATGAGCTCGGAAGCACCAGGAGGCTGTTTATAACAATAACAACAGTTGACTGGCAAGTTTTCATGCTTGTAAACTGTTTAATAAATGTAAACAAAGCCGTCAAAAATTGAGGAAAGATGTACACGTTCGTAAGTGCTTGCGTAACTGCTTCGTGAATCTGGCCCCTGGTCATTATGACTTGTCTTAGACAACGGGACCAATTAGCGGACTAATTGGAGAGTCATCAAGGATCCCGCCAAACTATGGGACCCTATTGTCTTTACCTTGATGTTACCTGAGTTGGTTCCCAAGATCAATGTCCCCACTGTCAGGTGGACTCCTGGTTGACCGTCTGTTCAACCAGGCTGTTGGACGAT